AAGTCAAGCCATTTTGAGCAGCAGGTCCAGAGTATGGATTTAGAAAATATTCACTTAGGATTCCGGAATCTCAGTAGGCTTTCATCACTTACCTTGCCAGTGTAATACATTCTTCTTTCCTCCTCGTCTTATCTTCCTCTTCCCAAAGCCTTTGTACTCTTCACTTGGAAGTCAAGTGGCCAAATAAAGGACTAAATATCTGGAGCCTGTTTGGTCATCAGGTCATCACCAATTTTTTTTTTTTTCCTTTTTGTCTTTTTTCGTGACTGGCAACGGATCGCAACCCTCAGTGTCACGCCCGTACCGGACTGGGACCGGCAACGGGATCGCAACCCTTGGTGTTGCTCCCGCAACTCGCTCAGCCAGTGAGCGGCCGGTCTGTATGTGGGATCCGAACCCTCAGCGGGAGCGCTGCCGCGCTTCCCAAGCGGCGCACTGTAGCAGTGTGCCACCGGGCCGGCCAGGTCATCACCAATTTTACTTAGATACCTGCTTTCCCCACTGGGTCTTTCAAGTCAAATAGAGTTAACATAATTGCTCTCATAGTTTTCATATGTTAGATTTCAGAAAGAATACCTCTTTCTGGTCCTTAATGATCTACAATTATGGGAATCAATGATGAACATTGAAAGAAGAACCCATGAAAAGAGGGTCTCCAGGCTTCCCCTTTCCCTCACCCCTATCAGCTTACCTACTCCAGTCCAGAACATTCACTGCATCCATTTTGAAGGTAACTACACATCCTGCATAAGGATGAATAGTACCTGCCCTGCCTATTATTCTACCAAAATATACCCTGTTGATAAATATTACCCCATGTTGGTCTCTTCTCTCTCTCTCTATCCTCTTGTTCAACATTTATTCAATCATACTGCTTATATTTCTTATGCTAAGTATCTGTAATATATTCATTAAAAGTTGTATGCAAATTGAATCATTATATATTCACTGGTATAACTTCTTAAAGGAGTCTTATGGAAAGTTATTTTGGGATGACAAGTCAGCAGTACTGTGTCCTTGTCTTGATTTTGGTACTGTGTAAATTTAGATAAGTTTTGGGCCTCAGTTTCCTCACCTGTAAAATGAGAAGATTGGATCATTTGATCTTTAGGGCTCCTTAACAAATCTAAAATTATATCACTAAAATGTTTTGATATTTTATTTGAAGTTTTCTTGGTGGAAGATACACCTACCTTTCTATCTTGAAGAATTTTTGTGAAATTAAGTTTATTTTTTTCCATGAAAAGATAGATTTATGAAAGACAACTTGGAAATATAGAGGAGTAGAAGGAAATAGAGGGAGGCATTCACAGAACCACTACCTAAAAAAATTGACAATTATTGATCCTTGTTCATCCCCTCTGCCTGTAACCCTATTTTAAGATCCTCCACAGGCAGACATGAAGGATGCATCAGGTTTGCATGTGTGGACTCCAGCCACATTACTTATAGTTGTCTGTCCCTACAGAGACTTGACATTCTAAGTGTTAACTGATCACAGCCACAGCTTGGGAAAAAGAGTTGTCCATCCTCCCAGGTTAGAGGATGACAAAGTCATCCAGTTCTACCAACCAGAGGCTCTTGCTCAAGCAGCTAAAGCTACCAAAGGATGACTAAGAAAGGGATGAGCAGGCTTGGGAATCAAGTTGTGGTTTCCCTTACTTTGGAAGAGAGATGTTTCTAGAGGTAGAAAGCATCCCAATAATGAGTAGCTAGCCCTTTTATCTTGTATATCCAATATAACCATAATAAAATACCAATGAGAATGAGAAATTTGGATTTCCTCCAAGTCCCTACCAAGTTCACTAACAACCGGCTCACAGGAGATATAACAGAATTGTAACCATCTGACTGAACTTCCATTGTGGGGAAGGTTGAAGATGCAGACAATTGTGCACGGGAAAGAAAATGTGATCCCCAAAGTGTAATATCCCATTCCCATTAGATAAGAAGATAGCAAGCAGAATAATAAAGGAGGGAGCACTAGTTCTAAGTTCTCCCCTAATGAGATTTCTAGTTGATCTGTTCTTTCCTCCAGCACCTGCCAGCCAAAACACAAGACAGACACCATGAGGATGGTCACCAGTAATCCATGACTCCCATTTCAGCAGAATGACTGCAGGACCAAGGGATTCCTCCAGCTAAGCTCCTCACAAACAAGAAATGCAACAGGATCACAGAAGAACCTGCAATTCTGCTTTAAGAAGCCAGCTGCACTATATGAAAAGGGATTATAGGAAAGAGCCCTCAGAGACTGAATGCATCTTCCAATCCCATCCTTCACTGAAACTAGGGGAAACGTTATTAGGAGATAGTCTGTGATCCACAGCAATCAAGTCCTGCCTGCAGCTGTGAATGCAGACTAGCTGGAGATGAGTCCCTGCAGCTCCTCTGCTCACGAATGTACACACTCACTGGAGAATGCTCTGCTCCAGTACTGAGTGACAGCAAGAGCCACAATGCAAAGCAGAGTCGGAGACCCTCCCCAGCAGCCCCACCAGAACCCCTACACTGTAGTTGCTGTAGGTCTGAAGGCTCCTCCCCAGTTTCTGTTCTTCAGTTGAAATGGGAATCCCTTAAAGATATCCCAAATCCTCTCATTTCATGTACTTCCTTTGAAGCAAGAAAATAAGCAGGTGGGGGAGGTGAGACTTACATAAGCTTCAGGTCTTCAGTTGAAATGGGAATCCCTTAAAGATATCCCAAATCCTCTCATTTCATGTACTTCCTATGAAGCAAGAAAATAAGCAGGTGGGGGAGGTGAGACTTACATAAGCTTCAGGGTACACAGGGATTTCCTGGGCTGGGCACTTGAGCCTAAAAGAGGATACTCATGGGGCAGAGCTGTGAGAAATGAAGCAGTTTAGAATCTCCCTAGAGCTCCAGAGCTCTATAGCTTCTTCAACACTTCCGCTCTTCACCATAGCTTTTACAGGAGGAAGAAAACAGAATGGGTTTCACCTCTAGGTAAGAAGAGACCCCTTGGGGATCTGGTTCAGAGACAGCTGGTCTCTATGCAAACCAAGGTGGCTGCTTCTGGACTTTATAAATACTCATCCCTGAAGCCAGCTTCAACTCCGTATTAGGAGGCAACTTCAAGGGCTAAATTGCTAGTTAAACCAGTTCACTCTGACATTCTAGGAATCTAGGCAGTCTTGCATACACTGACAGTCCCCATCCAAGGATCCTACTCTCATCATTCTACTGAGCCCCTGACTGAGGCTAACCAAGTTTGGCTGCTGAGTCAAGAGAAGCCGCAAGACTTGACTTTCTACCCAGACATGAAATTGTTTCCCTTGCCATGAAACAGATTTGTCACTCCACCAAATACCACTCTAAATGCCAGCCCCTGTAGTGTGTTCTACAAAGGGGCCATATACTTCCCTTCAAAAGCACAGAGTAACCACAAATCTTCATGTTGGCATAGCCTTCAGATCACAGACTCCCAGGGGATGGCTTGAATTACAACTTTCAGATTTAGAAATGCTGGAGTGGGAGGAGCGGTTTGAACCCTAGACCTCAGTGAAAAGAGAGCAAAGAAAACCTCTCTTCTCATGTTAGAGCTGAAAGAAAAATAGGAGAGAAGGTTGAAGGTTTTTCCCTTTTCTATCTGAAAGACTGCCATGGTCATAGTCATGATAAGCTGAGGAACTAGAAAACACTTTGATTCATCTGCAGCCCCCAAGCTAGCTGAATTTTCCAGGATAAATTTTGTGGATATGGCAACCAAGACAACAGAGCGGTTGGCACTAATTGGCTCCCTGGGTGACAACTTTTTGTAGAAGTCAGCAGAGTGCCTATTAAAGATCTTCATCTTTAGTATCTAAACTGGGATCCAGGCTCCTTCCATACCCTGATATCCTCGGTAATTCTTGTACTAGTTTTCCATAATACTCTAACCGGAAAAAAAGAAACAGGGAGTAATAGCTAACATGGATTGAGTGCCTACTCTATGGCAGGTGCTGTTCAAAGTACTTTGCATATGCTATCTTATTTAATCACTAGAACAACCAGTATCATCACCATTCTACAGATAAAAACCTGAAGCACAAAAAGGTTTTGTAATTTGCCTAAGACCACATACCTAGTTAGTAAGTAGTAGAGGGCAGGGGATCTGGTATACTGCTGAGAAGCTGGATTTAACACAAGGACCTGGGTACTAAGAAAGGAGCTGCAGAGGGCAAGCTTGTGATGCCACTGCCCAGACTGACTTCATGTTGGAAGGATTGTCCTTGTTTCTGATGTAAGACTGTGCCTTCATACTCAACCAGACATTAGGAGATGTGGGAGATGTCTTTCCAAAGTCTCTGCTTTGACCCCCACCCGTGGACAGTGTTCTGTGAAAAGAGTAAATCAGTTAATGGACTGTGTCTGGCTCCGATGTACACCACAGAGCCTGCCGGGAGGCCTAGGATATAGCAAGCACTGCAGAGGGAGGTCTACTCTTGAAGGGAACATCTCCCCAGGAACTGGACATGCCTCCACTACAGGGGCTTCTGCATATCAGAAATGGTTCCTCCAACGTTCTTGATTGAATTGAGTGGAGGGCAGGATGCTACCTTCCAAAAGAGGAAAAGTGACCATCCCAGGAGGCCAGAGATGGAGTTCTTGTTGGATGCTACATAAGGAGCGCAAGAGCAGTACAATACTGCCTTAGGAGAGAGGACAGAGGCGAAGTGAGGGGAGTGAGGAAAACCAGAACAACCTCAGAGCAAGAAGACAGAGAGCTCAGTCCCCCTCCCTCTACAGCCGATTCCAGTCACCCCCAAAGCGACATTCATAGTCGGGGGGCTTAAAGCACCCCCTTTCTCCAATTGCTTCCCAGCACCCCAAGATGGGAGTTTTCCCAGAGGGTCATTGGGGCGCCCTCAGAGGGTTCTCCGTGGCTCCAGGCTGCGCGCTCTCCCTCGCCTCCGTCGCCTCCCTGGGACCCCTAGCCACAGCTCCTTCTCCGCTGCAGCCCGCTCCCGGAGCGCTGGGGGCCGGGTCGCTTCGCTCACCTGGCTCATCGCGGCGGCCGGACAGGGCGCGCGGGGCGCGGCACGCGCAGGCGAGGTGAGGGGCCCTCGG